TTTCCTCTTGAATGTTTAACATCTTTGCTTCCCCCTCAGACACAGTAAAAATGTCACAATAAAGCTCTATCTGGGCATACCATTTCTGTACAGAGGCTCTCTGAGCCACTCTGTCAGGGGGCGGAGTTCCTGCTAAAACTGTCTTGGTTACTTTAAATGGGCCTCTAGGCACTATGGACTGCTGTCGAATAGTCCGTTCAGCCTCTCTCAAGGCTAAACTGACTACAAACAAACCTTTCTCCCAAGCAGTATATCTTTTTTCTGCAACCTTAAAACTGTGAGAATAGAACCCAATAGGTTGAGTGGGTCCTTCGGGGCCCTTTTGCCATAAATGTATTGATAGCCCACTCTTGGCAAATCCCCATTCAATATGGACGGGGTCTGTGGGGTGAATAGGACCGAAAGCTTGATGGGCAGTCGCTTCAAAAATTAGCAATCGCGATGCCTCTTCATGGGGTTTATTCCATTCCCACTGAGCCCCTTTTCGCAACAAGTCATACAGGGGTCTTGCAATAATTGAAAAATCAGGGATATGTTTCCTCCAAAACACAAGTAATCCTAGTATGTGCTGCAAATCCTTTTTTGACTCTGGCATTTTAATCTGATCTAATGAGGAAAGGATGTCGGGGGGGATACATGTCATTCCTCCCTTCCACCAAATTCCTAAAAACTTTACTTCGTTTGACAGTGTTTGTATTTTCTCTGGTGGAATTTTAAGCCTCAAGCTTTCCAAGTGAGAAATTATGTTACCCTGAGTTTTCTGAACCTTTTCTGTTTCATCCCCACCTACAAGAATGTCATCAATGTACTGATAAACACTGACCTCCTCCTCTGTCTGAATTAGTTCTATCATCTCCTGCGCTAATGCATGATGAGCTAGAGTGGGGGAATGCTTGCACCCTTGTGGGAGTCGGGTAAAAGTAAATTGCTGATCCTCCCAAGTAAATGCAAAGTGGTCTTGATCTTCTGTTTGCAGGGGGACCATAAAAAACATATCTTTAACATCCACTGTTGCCATAATTGGGTGGGCTCGTTCCTGGATTGTAGCTATAAACTCAGCAATATTCAGTACCGCAGCTGTCAATGGACCGGTATTTGCATTAAGTCTGCGATAATCTACAGTTAATCTCCACTTGCCATTAGGTTTTCGCACTGGCCATACCAGGGAGTTAAAAGGAGAATGGGTTGGAATCACAATACCCTGTCCCTTTAAGTCCTCTAACACAGGTGCTATTCCCTCTCTGACCCCCAAGGGTATCGGGTAGGGCTTAACATTTGTAAGCTTTGAAGGGGGAAGCAGTGGTGCGGCTTTTAACAGCCGAATATCTATTGTGGGAAAGCCAAATGACCACTGCCTCCTTTTGTTATCAATCCAGGTCTTTCCTTTTAAAACATGGAGTCCTAGAAGGTTAAGTGGAAACTCCCCCACAACCATTGTCACTGTAGTGGCACTATCTTCTCCCAGCAAACGCAGGCTGACCATTGCTAATGCCTGTGGCTGAACAATGCCGAATGCATCTGCCACAAAAAGCTGCTGTTTGGAGAGTGTAATTCTGCAATTAGCAGCGTCTTTGGTTTTAATAGCTGAAATCTGAGCTCCGGTATCTACCAAAAAGGTGACCGGGACTTGTCTTGGTCCCACAATACCTGTAATTAGTAAATCACCCCGGCCATTTTCAGTGAGCTGTCTAATATATATCCAACCTTCGCCCCCCTGCTCACCACCGAAAGGCGAAGGATCTAGTTTCCCACCGGCTCTTGGGTGACGTTTGTTTCTGATACATCAATCAGGGAGGGAGGGTGCGCTAAGAGTAGTATTCTCAAAATCCACTTTTCTATTTGCTGATTTATCAGGCCACCCTGTTACCAATTTTTCCAATTTGTCTGTTGGCATCCCATCCATTAAGTCACGCGGGATCCCCTCTGGTATCCCCGCGCCCACAGTATATTACGTTTGTTCGCGATATCTCTCCCCGCTGGCGGTTTAGCAAGGGGTGTTCTCTTATCACTCCCAGGGCACGGAACTATTTCTACTTCAGCCCACCTCAAGCCCCTGGAGTCTGTTTTGGTGGCTGGAGGGTTAACAGGACCATACTTGCGCCCGTAATTAATTAATTCCTGGGCCACTTCTCCCCAGGTGCACATTTTCGTATCTGGGGGGCGGCGGTGCTGATCAGGTATGAATCCTCCTGAAGCAGCCACAACACTCTCGCCTTGGGGCATCACCTGTATTTTTTCTTGTAATTGTATACCAATCGGTTTCAGAGAATCAGGGAGTCCCCGTATAAGGGGAGTCATTCACTCAGGATCCACCGACATCATCATCGGGGACTCCTGCCTAGGCTCCAATTTTCGATCATACATCATCTGCAGACAAGCTGCCTTTTGCACACTCTCCACTAATTGATCAACAGTCCC